AAAGCTGTTATTCTCAAGCGAGTTTGATGAGAATGCGAAACAAGCAGCAGCGTAATATAAATGTCGCGGATGTTTATCTATTGAAAAGTGGAACTTGAAAATATATGCAGATCACGATCGTTCTCTTTGTCCGAGATTTAAACCGACTAGTATTGTCACGACGTATAAAATATTTTCAGCGAGAAGATAAAAATCGAAAGGTTTCGTTGGAAATAGAAATATCTCATATGGTCATTCGTGCGACGTCAATCTCAAAGTTGATATACAAGAGAGCCTTGTCTTCTGTTTCTGACGCGCTCGACAGTCGGAGATTTACCGACACGAAATGCATTAATCGAACATCTCTCACTGCGGCGCAAAGTCCCGCAATGTCCATCAAACCATTGGGCATTTCCCGCTGTCGACGATATCGCATCGCCTCCGCGCGGAATCCCAATTTCTCGATATTACTCCGTCCCGGCGCGTTCCTTGGAGAACGACAACGACGATGATGACAACGATGCTGCTGAGAGCCACTGGGTGCAATCTTGTACCAGCTGGGGTTTGCGGGGTCTTGGGAGACGCGACTCTGGCTCGTAACCTTCTCTCTCGGGGTCCTAGCCACGACGACGAGGATGGAGTGAGGAATAGGGAAACAGGCACCACAGGCAGGCAGGCAGGCAAGCGGAGGATACGGAGATGGTTGGTCGACGTAGGGTGAGAGCGCGCGAGTAAGTAGCGGCAGTAAGGGGATGAGAGAGACGGCGGAGAAAAGGGAAGAGGAGTTGAAGGAGCTGGAGAGAGGACGGTGGGTGGTCGGTCGGTGGCTTTGGGATATATCCGTAAGGTTAGGGTGGTTGAGTCGAGACGAGGCGCCGTGGCGAAGGAGTCGCTCACTCACTTACCACCCTCATGGCTGCGACCGCCAACCCCAATACTATGCACACGGCCAAAGCCGTCTTTCCCCTTTCCATCCCCCGCTGTACTCCTCTCACCGTCCCTCCCGTTCTCGTCTCACCCTCGAAAGAGCCACCCCTAACTGTACTTCGGTGCCTGCTGTTGCTTGCCAAGTTGCTTGCCTGCCTGCCTGCCTGCCTGCTTGCGGACCAAGTCGTCCCTAACACTACAAAGTCTATATATCTACGGTATACCCGCAGCTCCTCCTACATTCCACCGCCTCTTCCCCCTTTTCCTCGTCCTCCTCAGGGGTACCAACCCCCATATTGATCGTGGCATGAATCCTCTTTGTGGGAGAAGGTGGTATGGATAGCAGACGAGATAGGTGTAAGTAAACTTACGTGAATGGAAGGCGGGCCGCGTGTGTATCATTTCTTCGCGGGGATATATACACACATCGTGTGTGTACGTGTACGATGTACATATATAAATATATGTATGTACCGTATACACATATACTAGCGCAACACGAGAGAGATGGCAAAAGAGGGAACAGAAAACGGGAAACGACATTGCGAGCTATCGGCGTCTCGACGCGGAGAAGGAGAAAAAGGATGCGCTTACCTCTTCGAAAGACAAGACTTCCGGGTACATATTACTACTAGCGGTATCGACTGCGGGCAAGAGGTGGTATATGTTTTCGCATGATTTTCCAGGGAACTGAATCGCGTCGCGATTTCCTCGCGGAATTTTTTCACCGCAGCAGTTATAATCCATCCATTGGAATCCTCCATTACAATAATATAACACATACACGCTAATTTATATTTAATTATCTAAATATATTTTACAACGTTCAGAAATTTTCATACATTTTTTTCTTGAGCAAAAATTAAGCCCACGATTCATTTACACATACGATCCAAAGAGACATTGCAATATATATACTTTAAAGTATTTCACGCTAAAAAGTAGCGCGACATTATTTTTGTATCGACGATAAAATAGATATTTTGGATTACTTTGGCGCGTCTTATTTTCTAAGATCGTCTCAAAAGCGTCGCGACAATTGTCTCGTCTGCTTCAGTGGATTCCAGCCGGATAAGCAGTGACCGACCATTTTCAGATAACGAGAAGACTACTCTCCTTTCGCAAGAGGTCGGAAGAAAAAGATCTTTCTCTTTCTCTCGGAAAACTCGAAAGAGGCACGTAATACGGCTCCTGGGGAATCTTTTTCTTCCGAGAATCTTTCATGACGTGAACAGAGCGCGTGTTTGTGGGGCTTACCCCCTCCCCCCCCCCCCCCCCC